TCTTCTTTTTCTATTTTTCTTCATTTTCCGTTTCATGTTTAATTTGGTCTATTCTGAAGTCCAGCCCAGGTATAAAAAGGTTCTTTTCCGTTCAGCAATAATTTTGGAAGGCCCAAGCCCAAGGCCCATTTTGTGTGATAATTAGATAAATCTTTTCCTTTTGAATCCGGTATGTTACAGTTCCATAACAAAACACCGACTCTTCCCAGTATCAAGGCCCTCTAATTCCAATTGCAAGTGTAAAACATTTTTTACCCTTTCCTTTTCCATTTTAACAAAGTAAACTTTTTATCTAATCCTTGGTGTCCTAGTGGCCACATTAAAGGGTGAGGCTAGGCATAACCTGGATTCTATTCTACACTCCCTCCCCTGAATTTTCCCATCTGTTCAGAAAAAAAAAAAAACAAAGTAAACTTTTTAAATAGGAAATAGATGAAATGCAATTTTTTTTTTTTTATAGGTCTTATATTGCAGAGAGACTTAGTTCCGCAGCATGGAGGACGGTTATTGTATTTTCTAGTGAGTGTTAATATCCTTTGCCCAAGACCTGTGTTTTACATGAAGAAGATGAACGATTTTTTTTTTTTTTTTCTTTTTGTTCAGCAAAAAGAAGAACAATTAGAGTTCAATTTTCTAATTCTGTTTCAAATTTGCGATTGAATTCATCGGTTTTGAATGAGAAGTTGGTAAATTTTGACGAGTGCCGTGTTATTTATTGCGCACTCCTCCAGAGATCAAACAAACTGAAATATTATATGCCGGCTTCTAATTTCCGAAAAAGTACTTGAATTGATTAATAAATCCAATATGCAATTTGATTACATTTCTGAACCATATCATGCTGCTCCTGGAGTTTTACACCTTGCATGATGCTTCATGGATTTGTGCCTAGCAAAAGATGGAAATGGATGGCTGGATACCTACTGCTGCATGTTGGGAGGTGGAGGGGGTGGCATCTGTTGACCTGGAAAACCTTCAGGAAGAATTGTTGGAACCCTAGCAGCCAAATTTGCCATTGTGCAGAGGGGTGGAGGCGATGGGATGCCACCAGGAGGCATAGGCCTAGGACCGTTTCCCATGGGAGGAGGTGACGGTCAAGAGCTAATAACTGGAGTTTGTGCTTGGTGGGGACTCTAGTAGTACTTGGAACCCTCGTGGAGGATGAGGTGGAGGTGGTGGAGCATGGAGCTGCTGGTCCATTGGTTGCTGGGGCAGTTTGAGGTTTGTTTGCCTCTCCTGGTTTGACTTTGAAATACACCTTCAGCTGCCAGTTGATGAAAACCAAACAGTTGTCAGATAAAATGGACTAAAAATTTACAAAATCAATGTCTTTAGACCAACACAGTAATAAATGATTCAGACCAAAGTTGAATCAAATGATAAATATGCTCTAGCCTTCTGGGTTCTAGCAAGAACACAGCATGTCTGGTTTGAAAAGGAGCTCAAGAATGAAACCAAAAAGAGAGAAGAGAAACAAAGAAGTAAACAGTAAAGTTGAGACTTACTGTGAACACTCTGAAATCAGTTTCACTGCTGGGACCTGAAAAGTAATACAGAAAGTAATATGAATATTTATGAAACATAGATGAGAGAATGTGAGTTAACAAGATTTAATTACCTTGAAGGTTGTGATCGTATATGGTTCT